ATGGTGTGAGTTTCTTTAGGGCCCAGACCAGCGTAGCTCACTTCCCTGGGTAATAACTTTGTACTCAGGTACGCGACAGGGTGTTCCCCTCCATTGTCCCCGATCTGGCTTAGAACTGCCAGGTTTCACTATAGATCACAATGTCACCCAGGTACGCGCAAGCGAAGTCCTGGAAGCCATCAAGGAGTCTATCCACCAAGCATTGAAAGGTAGCTGGGACGTTTTTCATCCCGAATGGCATGACCTTGAACTGGTACAGGCCAAACGGGGTGACGAACGCCGACTTGGGAATAGCTTCCTTGGCCAGGGGAATCTGCCAATATCCCTTGCACAGATCAATGGTGGTCAGATATCGCCCCCTGGCAATACGATCTAATAGTTCGTCCACTCTGGGCATGGGGTAGGCATCCGTCACTGTACGGTCATTGAGGCGCCTATAGTCGACACAGAACCTGGTAGTTCCGTCCTTTTTGGGAACCAGGACAACTGGTGAGGCCCAGGGGCTATCGGACGGCTCTATGACCCCTAGTCTCAACATCTCCTGGATTTCCTTCCTCATCTCCTCCTTTACTGTCTGTAGGGGGTCTGTCTAAGAGGATTTTGTCCTGGGGTCTCTGCGTAGTGAGTCGCTAGCGGGGTGTATCCTGGTTCCTGGGAAAACGTTAACCCTTTTTCAGTTAAAAACTGTCGGATCTGCCTCTTTTTGGCTGGAGTTAACCGCTCCCCTAGTTGCACTGTACTGAGCAGGCTATTGGGTTCTGAGTGTGCTAGAAGGTCTGGGATAGGTAGGCTGCCGGGGTCCTCAGCAGCCGGGATACATATGGCTGCAATATCCTCTGGCCTCTCCTAGTACTCTTTCAACAGATTAACATGAAATGATTTCTGAATCCTTTCATCTTTGTTACTGGCAATCACATAGGTAGTGTTGCAGACTTGCGCTACTACCTTGTAAGGGCCCTGCCAGGAGGTCTGGAGTTTATTCCCTTTAACGGGTCTAAGCACCAGGACCTTCTGCCCCACCTGGAACGTTCTCTGACGGGCGCCCCGATCGTACCAACGTTTCTGTCGACCCTGGGCCACCTGGAGATGTTCTCGTGCCATCCATGCTAAGTGCTCCATTTGGTCCCGCATCTCCAGAACATATGGCACAATGGGAACACCCTCATGCTCCATCTCTCCCTTCCAGTGCTCTCGAATGAGATCGAGAGGGCCTCGAACTCTCTGTCCATAGAGCAGCTCGAATGGAGAGAACCCTGTGGACTCCTGCGGCACCTCTAGATATGCAAACAAAAGGTGTGGCAAGAATCGCTCCCAGTCTCTGTATTCCGCTGTAAAGGTCCGCAGCAACTGCTTTAGGGTACCATTAAAACGTTCACAGAGACCGTTAGTCTGAGGGTGGTAGGGTAAGCTGAGGAGGGTCTTAATACCGCAGACCTTCCATAACTGTCGGGTTAAGTCTGCGGTAAACTGGGTCCCTCTGTCAGACAGTATTTCCTGGGGGAATCCCACTCTGGTGAATATCCCGACAAGAGCACTGGCGACAGTGTCAGCCTGGATATTCGTCAGAGCGTCGGCTTCCGGGTAGCGTGTAGCATAGTCTACTACAGTAACAATATATTTCTTACCGGAGGGACTGGGGTTAGGTAGGGGCCAGGTCGACTGCCACTCTGCTAAACGGTTCCTCGATCACAGGCATAGGTGACAGTCGAGCCTTAGCGTGATCCCCCCTCTTTCCTACTCGTTGGCAGACGTCACATGTGCTGCAGTAACGCCGCACATCCTTCGAGATCCCCGGCCAAAAAACGGTCTGGGTGATCCTGTAGTTGGTGTGGTTACCCCCTAAATGTCCTGCCAACGGAATGTCGTGGCCAATTCGGAGAAGTTCCAACAGGTACTTCCTGGGTACCACTAATTGGCGCTTCTGCGAAGGGGCACAGCCTCTCTTCCTACCTTCAGTCAATCTATATAACCTGTCATTATCCCATACAAAACGTTCCCGCTCATCCCCCCCACCGTCGGCTAATTCCCAGTACTTTTGCAGGGTTGGGTCCTCTCTGGTTTCCCTCCCAAACTCCTCTGGGGTATCCCAAGCTAGGGGTCTCTCTACCGTAGTGGGACTAAGAGTTGGTTCTTTGCTTACCTGGGGCTCCCGGCCTGTTGTAGGATCGTCTGCGGTACGGGTCTGTGAACGGGTGAACACGGGACAAGCAGCAGCAGTTGTGGGTAAATAGGCTGAAGCCAGAGGGCCAATGTCATTGCCCAACACGACTTCGGCATGCTGTCCATGATACCCACCGTGGTCTTTCCCGACCCGACTCCCCAGTCCAGGTGTACCCGGGCCGTGGGTAAGCGAAACACAGCTCCCCCTGCGACACGGACAGCGACTGTGTGATTGGATAAATGTTCTGGTTTTACCAAATGCCTTTGCATCAGGGTGATGGTAGCTCTGGTATCTCTTAAGCCTTGTGCTACCTGTCCATTCATGCGCACCTCCTGGCGATGATGCTGGAGGTTATCTGGGGAGGCAGCTTGTATCGGGTTTGCCTCATATAAGATACCCAGGCATTCCTCTGGGCCCATCTCGGTCTCCAGGCAGTGGGCGGCAGAGGGACGTGGTGAGGTGACCTCTGTGTTGGGTGCTGTGTGTCTCCAATTATTAGCTGCAGATCCCAAAGGGCAGTAACGGGCAATATGTCCAGTGTTGC